GATGGTGTCATCTAGAGGTCGTAGACTTGTCGGGCGTGTAATTTTCAAAAAGATGTAAAGTCAAATACTGTGCAGGTCAGGATGATAGAGGTGATGATGACGACATTTTTCAGCTCCAATGATGAACTTCATTTGCTCATCATCCCCATTTCTTCGCTCCCGGGGCTTGAACACCGTTCCCCTGCCCTGCTCCTACCCTTGAACAATCAGCGCTAGGATCACAATACTTGTCTTAGATGGCCGCTCTTTTCAAGCCATCTTCTCTGTTAGACGGTAGTTTTTCAGGAATCCATCTCCATCCAGACGTTCCCAATCATAAAACGGAGGAACTTAAAAGCAGCGGCAGCAGCCCCATGGTGGCCGTCTAGATAACTGATTGAAGTATAGCAATTATAGATGCCAGTAGACTTGATGGTCATTACTACGCTATGCCCAATTGGCTAGCAGCTCGGTAAATCGGTACCGACCACTCAACTCACTCTCGTGTCGTCACGAGAATAGACCACTTCTCGTGTGAGTCGCATTTCGAACTTTGGCTTGGGTTCTCATCCAGACCCAGCGAGATTGACTGCGTGGTACCCTGAAGAGCTGGTCGGACACCAAGGTTTTTTTTTTATTCATTCACATGGAAAAAGGTACAGGACATGGTGGTGCCGCACTCAAGTGGAAAGCACTTATGTTGACGGCACCACTGAAATAAATACATATAATAAAGAAAAAAACGCAACTTTAGGACAGGCAAAAACAGTATATACAGGAAATTCAAAAGCGCAAGTCCGGATCCCCACCCAATGATAAATGGTGGCAAAGAGGGAATAACAAAGGGGGAAATTGAAATCTTTTAAAAACGTTCTGATGTGGTGATAAAGTTTTGGGTAAGTAATAATATATTGGAGTTAACAACTGATGAGAATACGGGACTACCACGGAGTAAAAGGTCAGTTTTAGCGTTGTCAGAAAGAGTTGTAAAATCTATGGTGCGTCCTATAAGCCTGGATAGTTTGCCAAGGTTACGAAATTACCTTTTGATCCTCGCTTAACTGTATACCCATCTTAGGACACAGCAAGTAAATTTTATGGTTGCTATGCAAACTATATGATGGGCAACAATACTGCAACAATACGGCCAAGATATGTGTGTCCACATTTTCAACATAATAAACGATATCATGATGCAGTAATCAGTAGCAAAAGAAAGTGTATACTAGTACATGTGTATGTTTTAGTCTTTGGGGTCTATTACGTAACGGGGTTCTCATGTTCCGTGCACATGCGTATCGTCTTAGGTGGTGCGTACATGTGCGCCTGACACTGAAGACTAGGTTAGCTGCGTCCTATCTTCATCAGAAGCTTCCTGGAATTTGGCTTCCTGGAATTCGGCCGGACGTCTATGACAACAAGAGGCAGAGCGATGACGTCTTCTTGTTGCGGATGTGAAATGAAAAAGAATTATGTTCGGATGTGGGCGTAGGTTGGCGTCACTGACATTCCAGGTCCTTGGATCTCGCCACGAGGGAAAAACTGGACTTAGAACAGGTTTCCACTCACCATACCTACCTGGGGACGAGTAGTGATTGCAATACAGGCTACGACACTGAAGACGATGCGGGCAAACACATTCGTAGCGGTTCTCGTTCTTTTGTCACTGGTTGTTTCGGACAAGTCAGCCGTTCTTGGAAGACGTACAACGGTAAGTGTTTGTGTCTTCTTTAAAAACTGCAAGCTGACATTGGCGATTGTCGTAGATCATGGTATATCAAACCACATCAAAAGATGTAACAACCTTTTCGGTATCAATCCAGCTAAATTGTGGCTAATTTTATATGACATGTATATTTAGCATTCCAGGAATTTGGGATCGTACTATGTTCGTACGACGAGTGTGACCACACCCTTACTCGGGTGTATTTTGTGGTCACAAGGAAAACATTGTGATCTTTAATTTATCCACCTCCGCCTTTTCCAA